GGTGTAAATGCAGAAACATATCAAGGCTGCAGAGATCCAGTTTAAGAATCACATTTCTGACAGTAGTCCTTCGATCTGAGGATGTACACGTTAAACTTTGTGGTGCAGAATCACTGAGATGTTCATACTAGTATGCCAAGATGCTATCAGGAGACCTCCACATGGCAAGACTAGCTCAGTTTGGAGAGGTCAACTGTAACTACAGTGTAGGCACTGAAACTTGCAAGGCATTCCTGTATGATAGTTTAATATGTTCTGAAAGCAGTGAGGTGATAGTACATTTTGAAGTTCAGAAATTCATCATGACCATCCTCAAAGGCAGTGCAAAATAGCAGGGAACTGTGCTGATGATGTATAACCCTAATATATAGCAATATATAGCATAATGACCAATTAATTAGGATCATATGAAAGAATGGCCAGACCCATTAAATTGCTGTGGAAAAGTGCATCTATTAACACATCACATCTACCTGCCTTTCTTCCAGGTTGCAATTTTCTGATTATTTCTTGTATTATATTTAGGAGAGAGAAAAAATATTTTGCACCTGAAAAAAGGTTGTCATTTCTAAGTCTTCCTGAAAGATATCTTAATTGCTGTTGCATTTGTAGAATTTAATGTGGTTTGTGTTGTTGGGTATATATAGAACATCTTCTGTGACACTACTAAGTGTTGGAGCAGAACTTTCACCCACTCCAACCCCAATCATTCATATGTATTTCCAGTAGTTATGTTTTTTCCCCTGTAATGTAAAACCATGAGCTGGAAGTTACATGGGTAATACACTGCTTAAAGAATGGCATGGCCTCAATGTTCTCCTATAAGAACATCAGATGGAAAAGCTGAGATCGGTTTTAATGCATATATTTTAAAATGTTATTTTAATTTATTGTTGTAAGCCGCCCCGAGGCTTCGGCGAATGGGGCGGCATAAAAATGTTTTAATAATAAATAAATAAATAATGAATTCCTAATTCAAGGCAAGATTTGGACTGCTGTTCATACTGTGTATGTGCACGTCTGTGTGTGAACATGCATATGCACATGCTCTTATTCATACAGTGAAAAAAGTAGTTAGATTGAATGTACTTTGTACAGGGAAAGTCAACTGACTTGCAATTATTCCTTTTCCTAACGCTCAAGTTGCCAGGCCACTAAGATCCAAACAGAATGACACCTGGTCGTGGCAACTGTGAGCTGTAGTATAAAATGGCAGGTGGACAGGAGACTCACCCATGTTTCTGGATCAACCTAATTTTTGATTTTGTTTGGTCCATGCCCCAAGTCAATAACCCTGCAACAAGAATAAATCAATGAAATATAATTCCTTAATGATATAATTACCTTTTGTGAGGGTCTTTAAAAATCATGCTTCTTACAGAATTTTTATATAGTTAAATAACTGATATGCTGTATGCTTATAACTTTCACCTTCAGTGTGAGCTTTCTCTGGATTTTTAATGATTTTGGAGACTAGGCATTGCTTGTAAATACAGGAGCAGTTCCTAGTATTTTGCCATTAGTATGCTGGTCATCAGTTTTAACATTCTTAATATGTAGTCCAGGGGTGGGACAATCCTATAGTGCCTGCAACAGCATAGATCAGAAATCCCCTTCTGAAGTCAACAATCGTTCTCTGATCTTTGATTTTTCCCCACTGGAAGTATCTCTGTCACTCACTCTTTCAGCATCAGAGAAAAAGGGGAAGATTGGTGTTGTGGGGCGAGCAGAACAGGGACAGAGTAGCAAGCATCACTCCCTCCTCACTTCTCTCCTACACAAATGACCCTAGCAGGACTTTGGGACCATGTCTTAACATTACCATATGTTATATGGTTTATTAGGGAAGTGTGTGCACTCTATATTCTAATTCCTATATGAAATGGTTTTATATGGCTATTAATTTTCATTTATTTTCAGTTTCTTCTGAGGATGAACATTTGAAAAGCACTGAGAAATTTGGAAATCCACTTAATAAACCTATCATGCAACAATTGGATTACCTCCCCCACTCCCAAATTCTGCCATTTTAGGCTGCATTGTGTTGCTCCATAGAATTAATCCTGCTCCCACCCATCTATATCCATTTGCTGCCTGCCACAGGGTAGGCTTTAAAGCAAATGCTGTTAGAGAAGCTGAATTATTGAATGTGAGCCTCAATCTTGCCTCTCTGCACCAAAATTGCTATCTACCAGAAGCAAAGTATCTGAAATTAGACAGTGAAAGCACTCCCTGAATTCAGGAAGTGCTCTGTAAATGGATATAATCTGTTATAACCTGCAAGGTAACACAAATTCATCTTCATTAAGGCACTGTCATCCCAGCATTTTAAAGTAGCAACACCCATTTGCATTAATACCCAACACTCCCTCCAGCCTTGAGCCCCAGGAGCCCTGTGTGGGGGTAATTCCATGATACACATAATTAGCTTGTGGTCTTTGAAAGGCCCTGAATTTTTCTAGCTCTGCCCTTATTTCCCATGGCATCTCTGTTTGGCTCTTCTATTTCATGAGTAAATGTGCCGCCACAGTGCTAATTTTACACAATGAACGAGCAGAGCAAACCCTACCTGTGGAGTGTTCTTGCACTCTCCGGCCTCATAGTCACTTGACAAGTATCTGTAACAAAGAACTATCCAAGTTTTATCCATGACTGCAATGCTGCAAAAAAGAGGAGTATTCAGCCCTGCCCCGCCCAAAATTTCCCCTCACCTTTGGAAGAAATATTTGGGGCAAGGCATTTGGACGATTTGGCTGGTAGCTGTTTTTCATTGCCTGTTCCCCTCTTAGAAACTGCCACCATCCATTCTGGCTGCTCACAACAGCCAGAGTCCACAAATATACCTTCAGGTCTTTTGCTGCATTTGCTAGGCCTTGGGACTGAATCACCATGACAACCATGCTATGCTTAAGCACTATTTCTATGGTAATCCTGGCCTAGCCCCTAGAAAATGCAACAAAAGGTTGCAGATATTGTTGTAGGTCACAGGAAAAAGACATGACCACCTTTGTCACGTTCATCTTAGATAAGCAGGGTGTGTGTGTGTGTGTGTGTGAGGGTGGGGGGGGCATCACTTCAAAATATTTATCAGAATTTCCTTCTGTCTCAGTTCCAGGTGCTATTTCTTCATTTTTACCCATACTAGCTTTCATGTAGCCTGATGTGCCTAATCCTACCTAATCTTTGAAGCTAAGCAAGGCTGGCCCTGGTTGAAATCTGGATGAGTGACTTAAATTTTGTGATCCATTCAAAGCACTTTGGCTATGGTCAGTATAAACATGATGGTGATGATGATGATGCCACCACCACCACCACTGAGAAGATAACGCTGAAAATGCCATCCCATTTGGGAAATAGCTTCCTGTTGCAGCTGTTTCCCAACACATGGAAAACCAGACTGGGGTAGGGGCAACAAGGCCCCATTCTCTTCCTCTATGCTGCTATGAATTTGTAATGATTAATGGCTTAACAAGATTATAATGATTTATATGAATTGTTTAGCAGTGGTCAGCAAGAATGACTGTTTGGCCAAAATGGCATCTATCTCCCATGAACTAATCCTGCCACAAAAGACAAGTTTCTCACCATAAATTTTTCTTCTTGTCTCCCAAAAGTCATCCTAGAATCTTTAGGTATACGAAAGACTCTATATAACAGAATTAGTGAAAGGTACTATCTCCCCAATTGCAGAGAAAAGACACCATAGCTGTTCCCACCCCATATCCCATGCTAATAGGTCACAAGAAGAAGGACTTCCTCACAGCTCCGTCAAGGAACCAGGTAGGATGTTTCTATCGCACTTTTGTACACAAGCTGTTGAGACATCACTTGAGCTTTATTTCAGCAGCTTGTCTTTCACAGCAGGAGTCACCATTTTAATGAGGAACTCGGGGTATGTTTTGCATCCAGTACCTCAGGCTGAAGAAGTGTTCCTAAGGAGAGACAACTTTCCTCAGTCCTGTACTTGGCTTCTCTCCCTCTTATACAGTGCAGGAAAGCAGCTGGCACTGCAGAATTAAATACACTCACACACATCGCTATTGTGGTGCATCTTTTCTCACCTCTCTGCTTTTAGGCCTAGGAGGAAAGTAAATTGGCTACTTTACCACAGCAATTGTCTGTCCCTTGCATTGCCATATCCCATTGTGCTCTGCAGAACCTCACAACAGGTAGATACCATTTGAAGTGTTGCACACTATGATGGTCATAATGCAAACATCCTTACAATCAGAGTTTGGTGACCAGTGTGCCATCCATGTCATTCGCTTACATCACTTCAGCTACCATAACATGTCATCCAACAGTAACTAGATCACATGAATGTGAGAAACGTAATCAATTGGGTGGTAAAGAACTGTAACCAATATGAAGGACCTGTAAAGTGTTCTGTAGGATTTTTCCTATTTTCTTGCATATTGGACCTTTTAACTCTAACAAGCAGTCTGGTTGCTTCAGCCAAGGGCTGAGGAGCTGTCACTTACCACTCCAATAGCTCAGGGTGTGATTTGCAGCTTCCCATCTCAACCTTTTAGCTCTGTATTTTTTCTCATACAAAGCACACTCTGTCTGGCTCTTTGCATCAATCCACAGCTCTGGCCTCACAGGACTCTTTTTAAAGAATGCAGAAACAAGGCCAATATATGGCTTACCTAAATTCTGAAATAGCAGCAGCTGCATACACCGCCTACTGCCTTCACACACTGAACTACCCTGTGAGGATACAGATCATTTTCGTGGAAGCTATCAAATGAATACAGGTGGCCCCTTACCACATATACACATAAAACTGGATCCAAGCAGAGATAGCAAGAAGTTGTTGATATGCACACTGTGGTTAAGTTACCTGTTAGTAAAAGGTTACCTGGGTGCAGCCATGGTGTCAAAGTTCATCAAAGTTGCTGCATGATATTCAAGTACAGTCATGTGAAACATAGAATTATTGAAAAGAATCACAAGAAAATATTTGAACGAAAATAATTCAGTCAAGAGATGGACACTGGTTTATATAAAAAATGAAGTGTATTTCAGAGAATTATTTGAACATCAACATGCAGGTACAACATGAATAAAAATTATTGCACCTCTATTATGTGGCAACTGTTCAAGTTTCTAAAACACATATCCTACATCATCTTCTGGTGGCCAGATGCTAAGTGGCACCAGCTTGAAATTGGAACCCAATATGAAAGCTGTGTTCACAGCCTCCAAATTAACAAAAAATCAGAACAAAATGTAAACACGCACACAGCTGTAAAATCATCTACTAGAAATATGGTGTCATCCTTCACGTCCAGTAAGATGAAACTGGAGAAAGATTTTACCCTCCCCACAGGAAAAAACAAAAATTCCAAATTACACTGTAGTTCAGTGCTAATGAAAAAATCTATGAGTCATTCCTCTAACCCTGCTCTATGGTAAGTACTGATCTGTAGCATAGTGAGCACCACAAATACTTGGGCATCTTCCCCCAAGAGTGGTTTTTAGCAATGCTAAAAGCTAATATTTACACTAAGTATCAATCTGTTGGTTTTAGACGCACCATTTACTGGTATGTTGTTGAGGAATGCATCATCTGGATACTAAAAATGTAAAGCCTGCATGAAGAAAACAAATGGTGGATTCCAGTCATCCAGGCTATAGGAAAAGAAACTGGGAAAGCAGCCAGCTGCATGCATCTTATGCCTAAGCAAAGTTCTACAGTCACTCTTTTTCATGGAACATTATAGAGATCAGAGTCCCAGTTAGCTGGATCAGTACCGTGTGCAGTGAGTGGCTTAATTGGTCTATTAACAGTCATGCCAACACCTGCTTTCCCTCAACATGGTAACACCACCAGTTTAGCTTGGCCATTGCACACCACCTCTAGCTAGACTTAAAGTTTAAGTGCTTTTATTATTCTAAACGATGTCCTCAGTAATGTCATGATTGTCAGAACTCATCAATATAAATGTCCAAAGAATCAATCTGATCTATTAGCATTGGGTTTTGACAGAAAGTTTACCAGTAATTTTACTAACATGAGTCCTGTTGTACAAATTTACCAAGTAGTGGTGACAGTGAAGACTTACAAGAATTATACAGATTTCCTGGTAATGGTATAATAGACATATCAAAAGGTAACATCCAAGTGGCATTTATAATACAGAAATGAGGTGGCCCGATATGCTTTATTTGGCTAAAGTAGAGATACAAAACCTTTGGCTGCCTTTGTAAATACAGATGCTACAAGGTATGTTTGAAGTGACATTACTTATCCCGAGGGCTCAAATTCATACAGTGTAAATCACAGCATTTCATATGTTTAACATTATTCAAGTTAATGTGCATTTCTGTGTGGCAATGCCATCAGCCCACATCAGCAACAAACCCCCTTTCCTAAATGTTTCTATGTACTGATGCCCCAATTCCCGTGCCTGGAAAGTACATCAGCAAAGTGATATTAAAGGCTTGCAAGACATAAACGTGGATGCAGTGCATAAAGTTAGCTCTTGTATGCTGGTTGCAGAATTAAGGAGATTACAAGGAATTACTGGTGATATGTTGAGTACTGAAGTTTCAAGTTTACATATGAGAAAGCCCATGGATCCTCTACAGCATTATAACACTCACACATCATTCCCTTTTACTTACACACGCACACTTACGTAAACAGTGGTTAACGTAAAAAGAATCCTAAATCAAAAATAAATTGGTCCAAAACTGAAACCAAATAGTCTAGAATTAGATATGGAGTAACTGGCAGAAGAAGGCAATCAGGAAATTCAAACAAGAAACAAAGTCATTTGAAATATGGTAATAAATTAGTTTTAAGAGCATGTTGCTAGTCAAAAAAGTATATATAGTCTCTGTAAGAAGAAATGGAAGAGGCTTTATATCAGAAACATGGCAGAGTAATGAAGCTGCACTGTAATTAACTGCAGTGTTCACCCTGAAAAGCTATTACACTCACCGTGTAATCAACTATGTAGAAGAGCAGACTATGCAAATAATTGCTTTCTCTGCTCTCACACACAGATTTTGTATTTTGTTAAGGCAAGGCTGAAAGTTAAATTCACCAGTATTACAGGTTTTATGGAAACAGTCACGTCTGCCTATAAACTGTAATTAGACTCAGTAAATTAAAGATGAAATGCTGCATTGACTGAGTGCATATCTTTATCTAGCCATCTACCTATCAGTGCAGTATTACAGCTGTTTTTGTGAAAGCACCAGATGATGTTACACTTGCAAAAGCTATCAAAACATTACTTAAGAAACATAGGCATTTCAGAAACAAAGTAGGTAGATTAAGCAATGGAGAGTGATCTGAATTACAATTAACACACTGTTCATCTGTGTGATTTAGGGGCCAATATTTAATGAATTCTTACACTTAGAAAAGCAGTACTCAAGTGAGTAGGACTATTTCATGTATAGTGGTTTGTCTCAGTCTTTCCCAACAAATCGGTAAAGATCATTTCTCACTGAGTCAGATCAGAACTTGGCTGAATGTTAATGGTATCCACAACAAACTAGCTAGCCCTGCAAGATGAGGGGCAGTGTCAAAACAGTCACCTCCTCCAGTAAAGTCTTAATGGAATAGACTACTTCAATAAGAGCCATAGTAATTGAAGCACTCTTTACTGCTTTTTACATAATTGCCAGCTCTGAGCAAAGGAAGGCTGGTAAGGCAACACATGTTAAAAATTCTAAAAAGGCTGAAGATGGAGTGCTTCTTTTAAAGCAAAGTTAAAAAATCTGACTGAAGATTTGTTGCAATGTTTTGCTCAAAAGATTGCTTTTAAAAAGATATTGCCCTGTCACACAAGTTAACACAACATTTTCCTCACAAATATATGTGGAAGTCTATGATGCATAAGAAATGGAAGTGTGTGGTGAATTTCTGCCATTAAATCGGTTTATTTTTTATCCTCGCCAATATAAATTTTTTGGATATTTAAAGCTGATGGCCAAATGTTTGCTTTGCAAGTAAGCTTCCTTATTTCCTCTGCAATGTTGAAAGAAATGAGGAAAAATGCTCAAAAGGAAGACAATGCACAGGATTATCTAAAATTAAGGCAAAATTTAAAACATAGGAGAAATTTGCAAACTATTTTGTAATTTTGCTTTAAAGATACCCTGTTAAAAGGCATCACATGACAAATGCTATGTATAAAAATAGTATAGTAAGAATGAAAAAAACAAGATTGCAAAAACAAAACTACAAAAAAATAGATGTACAGGTTTTCTGTTTTATATTCTACTGATGTTGTCTGTTAGCTAAATGCAGAGAAGTTGTTATGTTTTCTTTACATAACATGGATCTTCTGAAAATAGGAAGTCTTCCGTTTGTGAGTGACCTCCAGACATCAAAGCAGTCTCCTTTTTAGAACTCAGGTTGCCATCTGTTTCTGAAGAAACTCTCATGCTTTGCCTTGCAGTGCCATGTAGCTGATCTTCAGAAGGTATCTGCCATTTATTATCCAAAATTTTAGCTACATTAGAGCTACCATGTTCTGGCTCCTCTTTTGCTCCCACTAAACACTCCAATCCCCATGACACTGCTGGGGTTTCTGACTCAATGTAGGAACCACATGTCTTAATGAAATGACCCATGCTGAAAGTTTTGGCTGTTTCTGGAACTTCCTTTAGTATTTCCTGCATTTCTTGCTTGGATGCAGTTTCTTTCATACGAAACAAGGCCTCCTGTGATAACTCTTTCCTTGCTTTTTCTAGTTCTCTTGAGCCAGATATGTTGACATTTACTGGGCCTAGCATGCCTTTTGCATCTGCTGCTGAGTGGGCTGGCCAAGCTGCTTCTCTGCTTTCAGCAGGGGCATCAAGTGTGAGTGATGGACTACCAGCAAGGCAACTTGGGTTTGTGTCACTTGAATGACTCTTGTGTTCTGAAACTGCCACTGCAGAGGACAATCTTTGTGGTTCTTCCAGATTAGGAGAACTTTGTTCACTACCATCTCCCAAATTTTGAAAACTGGTGCTCTTCTTAGTAGACAGGAGATCCTTTTTGTGAGGTGGGTCTTTGCAATCCATTTGGCTTACTAGTGGAAGACAGCTTGTGCAAGTAGAAGATGACAGTGCTAACAAAGGTATAGTATTCTGAGACAATATGTAAGTGGCTTCTTTAGGAGCCGATTCCTCCAGGTTATTTTTGTCACTTGCCTGTCCTGAGCAGTCACCTTGACCAAGCTGCAGGAGTCTTAGTGGTAGGCACGTCACCTGTTCCTGACAGTCTCTGCTTTCTTGGATAATCAGAGGTTCCTTAGGATCTTTAGCATCTTCAAAAAAAGCACCTTTTTGACCAACAGGTTTATTGCCTTGCATTAACTCTAATGCTGTTCCAGACTCTGATATTAGCATAATTGTTTCACAGCCACCAGGTTTTTCTATAGGTGAAGATTTTGCACAAACCTCAGATTGTGACTCATCTATGTCAGTCAGAAATGTCCTTGTAGCATTCTTTGGTTGCTGTTGATTCGGCAAATTGTCAGTTTTTGGTTCCTCCAGAAGAAAAGCATCATCTTCCATACTGTCTTTGTTTTCTAACTTGGAAGATGGCTTCACCTCCTTAGTGAAAGTGTCAGACATGTGGTGGTCTGTACTGAAGGGTGCCCTGCCCAACCTTTTTCCATCTTGACTATCTTCAGATCCTTCATCAGTTTCATCTTCAGAAGAATCTACTTCTGTGATGGCCTCCTGCTTCTGAAGAGATTCCCTTCGCTCCACCCTGTCTTGCCGAATAGCCCCCAGTTTCCTGGAAGGAGGTTTTTGTAGTGTCCCCTTTTCTGCAAGCCCAACTTTACCTCCGGTTGTTTCATTCATAGATTCCTGCCAGCTTTGGAGAGTTGGGTCTCTCTGGAGCATCTCCTTCTTGAATTCAGAATGGGAGATGTCCAAGCTGTGTTTGCGTGAAGCGGGCAGTTTTTTTTCTGAGGAGGATAGAGAGGAGGTTAGTTTCTCAGCTGATTGGACTCTCTTTAACAGAGGAGATCTTGGTGGCTCGGCACTCTTAGGCCTTGAAATCTGTCGGACCAGAGGTGGAGAGGAGTGTAACTTTACAGGGAAGGACTGCATGATGTTTGAACTGCCAACTGAATGCCCCGGTAAAGGGGAAGGGGAACGCTGCGGTGATGTGGACTGTGGAGTTGGTGATGGGGTGTGTGCTAGTGGTGATAGAGGAATGTTTCCTGCAGATTTACGTCTTGGGGATCGATACTGCCGTTGAAGCTTTGGTGCTAGCCCATGCAAAGAGCTGGGACGGATGTGTCCTGAACTGGCCGGAGAATTGGGAACACTAGAACTAGGTGAACTGCTCTGAGAAGAGTTTCCACCAACTGCAAACATTAAAAAAGGAGAACATTAAAACCAAGCACATAAAGGCATTTTAGTAGCATAAGGAACTGCTGTTATGTGTATATTATACAGTGTATCACAGAAGTGAGTACACCCCTCACATTTCGTAAATATTTTATTATATCTTTTCATGTGACAACCCTGAAGAAATGACACTTTGCTGCAATGTAAAGTAGTAAGTATACAGTTTGTATAACACTGTAAATTTGCTGTTCCCTCAAAATAACTCAACACACAGCTATTAATGCCTAAACTGCAGGCAACAAAAGTGAGTACACCCCTAAGTGAAACTGTCCAAAGTGAGTCCAAAGTGTCAATATTTTGTGTGGCCACCATTATTTTCCAGCATTGCCTTAACCCTCTTGGGCATGGAGTTCACCAGAGCTTCACAGGTTGCCACTGGAGTCCTCTTCCACTCCTCCATGACGACATCATGGAGCTGGTGGATGTTAGAGACCTTGTGCTCCTCCACCCTCCGTTTCAGGATGCCCCACAGATGCTCGATAGGGTTTAGGTCTGGAGACATGCTTGGCCAGTCCATCACCTTTACCCTCAGCTTCTTTAGCAAGGCAGTAGTCATCTTGGAGGTGTGTTTGGGGTCATTATCATGTTGGAATACTGCCCTGTGGCCCAGTCTCCAAAGGGAGGGCATCATGTCACAGTACATGTTAGCATTCATGGTTCCCTCAATGAACTTAGCTCCCCAGTGCCAGCAGCACTCATGCAGCCCCAGACCATGACACTCCCACCACCATGCTTGACTGTAGGCAAGACACACTTGACTTTGTACTCCTCACCTGGTTGTCGCCACACACACTTGACACCATCTGAAACAAATAACTTTATCTTGGTCTCATCAGACCACAGGACATGGTTCCACTAATCCATGTCCTTAGTCTGCTTGTCTTCAGCAAACTGTTTGCGGGCTTTCTTGTGCATCATCTTTAGAAGAGGCTTCCTTTTGGGACGACAGCCCTGCAGACCAATTTGATGCAGTGTGTGGCATATGGTCTGAGCACTGACAGGCTGACCCACCACCCCTTCAACCTCTGCAGCAATGCTGGCAGCACTCATACGTCTATTTCCCAAAGCCAACCTCTGAATATGACACTGAGCACGTGCACTCAACTTCTTTGGTCGACCATGGCGAGGCCTGTTCTGAGTGGAACCTGTCCTGTTAAACTGCTGTATGGTCTTGGCCACTGTGCTGCAGCTCAGTGTCAGGGTCTTGGCAATCTTCTTATAGCCTAGGCCAT